TTGCTTCTCCTATGAGGAAACCAAACAACAAACGCAAGGTTGACAGCTGTTTCAGCCGAGCAATCTGGCATTTTATCACCTGACTCTTGCTATCCCTGTGGAGTTCCTTGCCACTGGATACTCTGAATTGTCAGAGTTCACCGTGACTAGTTCCAGATGAGTCTGTGAAAGAGAAGTCCCCTGAAGATTACCGAATAGAAAGAAACTGTGTCTGGTTCAGGAACCTCCTGAGTTGTAAATGGGAGAATTGCTGGCAGAAGTATCACATCTGGCCAGCTTTTTTAGCTCTTGCTGGAGGCAAAGCCAGGCAAAATTTTGTTTGTAACCAGTGCAGCTTCTTTTAGGTTCCCATTGAGTTAAATAAATTTTTCCATCACTTTAATACTTTTCCTCGTTCATGAATTTTGTAATCTAATCCAAACCCGTCACAAAAATATTACAGCCTAACTTTCAGATTCTCACCAGAGTCATTTTTGTGTAAATCACTGGACAAAATCTTGTGTTTCCAGTGATGACTCCCCTGCTGTACTAAAACTACAGTTCTACCACCCATAAAAACTGATTACAAGGTAGCGCAGCCCTCAGAACAGTAAGCATTGCAGAAAAATAAATTTGATAGATAAGTTAATATGGAAAATAGTATTTTCTCAGCAATGGGGAAGAAGTGATAAACACTGGACACATTTAGTGTTTTGGTGAATTGAATGGATGTAATTTCACCTGGTCAAATACCAAGCTGGACTAAGGTAAATTTTCAAACTCTAAAAAACTGCAACTAGAGCTGCGTAAGCTGCATTTATCTGGATGGAGTCATAAACTCTGCCAATGTTTCTTAAACTTATAGCTAGGAAAAAGGGGAGATATTTCAAGGAGAGGTATGGACATGGTGATAGATGCATACGTACATACATTTATACATATTTAAGGAGTGGGTAGATTGAACGTTGCTTAAATAAAACCCTTCATCATTCCTAGTACTAAAAAAAGGTGTGATAACTGTGTAAAAAAAATTGTGAACCAGCATGGTTCGAATCTATAATGCCCAACAGAGCTGCTTGACAATGTCTCCCCTGCATCACACTGATGCTGAGCTGACTGGTCCACTGCAGTCTTTTGTCTGCTGAGGTTTACTCAAGGAGACTAAAGCCAACGGCTTGCACTTGATTTAGAGTAAAATTCTTGTCAGTGAAGGTTCATCTGCCCAAAAATACTCTTTGAGTTTGTTTGGGAGGGGGGTGTTGGTTTTCTTGACACAAGAGTGAAACTGCAGATAACTAGACTGTTGGTTTTGGTTCATTTCAAGCCCGTTTATTGGAATCCTTTTCCTTCATGCAGGGCTGTTTTTACAAAATTAAAAGACATTGGTGCTGATTTTCTGATATGTTTGTTCTACTAATTGAGTTTTTGTTTGATTAAATGCAACAAATTGTTTGATCAAATGGACTAAAAGAATTCAAACAGCTGAAACTAAATGCTGCCCAAATTTCAGCTCTGTATTAACCCTTTATGATACTGATAATGAAGCAGTTGCTGCTGGCAAAGATAAAAGCAGAATCGTAAACTGCACAAACATTCACATCTGGCAAAAAACAGGTATCTTCCAACCATCTTTACTTTTAGAATGTATACATAAATTTACACGTTTGGACTACGTAACATTCATTATATAAATTTTTATCAGAATTACTCAAGGTATACTTCATAGAGGTCTTGTTAGCTTTAGTAAGCTTGATTCTGGTTTTACCTGTGGTAATTTTATTCTGGTGAATAGATAGAACTGAACTTATCAATTTCACACACAGACAGACACTTGAAGATAATACAGTCAGATTATTGTACATCAACATTCTATGACCTAGGTATCATATTACTCCATTTTCTTCATCTTTATGTACACAGCTATTTCAATGATCTATGATTTTGATGATCTAGAGGTGCTAAGTTATGGTTAATACTGTAGTATTTTTCCTTGGGTGATGTTTATGCACTAGAAGCAGATATCATGATGTTAATTTTTGGCATGTTCTACTGCGTGCGGTTTGTCCTTCCACAATTTGCTTTCTACCCTCCCCTGCCTCCCACCTGAATTTAATCATGTTGCAAAGTAATACAAAAGCCAAATCATTGTTCAGCTTCCCAAGATAATTCTCTTCATTGTTCACTTTGGTCTATGTAGGGCATTTAGAATTGTGTACATTAGTGATCGTTAGTTGCCAGTCCATTATATCAGTTGAATTTCATAAGCAGCTAAAGTTTATTGCCTGATTGTGAGATCTAAAGTGAAAGATTATATCATTCCATTAACACCTGTGCACAGATAAAATAATGAGTAGCTCTACAGATAATTACCAAATTTACCTTTAGAATTACATCTAGAAAAAGCAGCATTATTTGGGGTATGTTTACATATTTTTTATTTTGGTAAAAATTTCATTTTTATAACATCAAAAACTTTGAGGCTGCCAGTTCTTTGCTGTTTTTTTGTGAACATTGTTAAGTACACATCTAAGAAGTATTTGGATTCATTTGTGTATTTAGTGTAGGAAAAAGAGAAATACTTAATGCTCTAGTTTTTACTGAACTGCCTAGTACTTTAGAGGGCTTTGCAATTTTGATTATTGTAAAAGCATTGTGATGTTGGCCGTGTATATTTGTAGCTGTTGTAGAAAAGTTTGTCACAACATCTGTTGAGGGGATAAGGAATTTTTCGGTTTTGCCCAAGGGACTTTGTGACTTGTGCTTTGTGTGCAAGGGATGCTAGTGCCTGTGGAGTGCGGTGTGACAAATACCTTGCATTTCCATTCTCCTCGTATAACAAAACTGAGTTCCTCCCAGACCAATATCAGAGGTACATAGCCTCAATCTTTTTCTCCTGATGCTGCTCTGAAAAATACATGTGTATTATTAGTGATGCGTTATGGACCAAGGATGCTTGGGAAGTCTCAGACCATTAACAAATTTTGACCAGAGCTCACCTCACTATGGAAGAAGTGATTCAGGTGCTCAATGGGCATGAGTAGTCATTCAGGATAATCAAGGTCATCCAGTCTGGCCTCCAGCTTTCTGTTCATAAGGAATGGGTCTCTCACAGCTTCTGTTATATAAACTGATCATGTGCAGATCTCTTAGATCTCCTGTGACATGAAATACATGAATTTCATGTACTGAGGGGTCTAGAGAACAAGTCGTATGAGGAGCAGTTGAGGGAGCTGGGATTGTTTAGTCTGGAGAAGAGGAGGCTGATGGGGGACCTTATTGCTCTCTACAACTACCTGAAAGGAGGTTACAGTGAGGCAGGCATTGGTCTCTTCTCCCAAGTAACTAGTGATAGGATGAAAGGCAATGGCCTCAAGTTGCGTCAGGAGAGGTTTAGATTGTATATTGGGAAAAATTTCTTTACTGAAAGAGTTGTGAAGCATTGGAACAGGCTGCCCAGGGCAGTGGTGGAGTCCCCATCCCTGGAGGTGTTTAAAAAACATGCAGAAATGGCACTTCAGGACATGGTTTAGCAGACATGGTGGTGGTGGGTTGATGGTTGGACTTGATGATCTTAGAGGTCTTTTCCAGCCTTAATGATTCTGTGATTCCATGATTCTATGAATCTAATGCCATTCTAAGGCACCAGTACCCACCCGTGATGCCTCCTCAAGTCCTCTGCTGGAGGTCCCTAGCTGCCTAGGGCTCACAGCACTGCATCTTCCCATACACCAATGGATGACTGGCAAACCTACATGCACAGAAACAGCACTATTTTCAAATGGCCAAACTGGGGAGGATTGGTGTGATGTCCTTATACATAAGTGTCAGAACGGGAGTACCTTAACAATGATTAGAACTGAGCTTTCAAACACCTTTGCTTAGGAAATATAATTTTGTTAATGCTGTTATGGCCTTTGTTATTTTCAAGGTAGAGTTGGGGTTTTTTTCCCCATGGAAAAAGCAAAGCCTTGTTAACTGTTCGAAAGAGCAAAGTTGATTTTAATACTTTGGTTTTATTGCCTCCAGTCCTAGGTTACCGCCATGATGTTAATTTTCATGTGTAGCACAGTATCTCACTGTAATTTTTTAAGGAAATACATACCTTTGTTAAATGTTATGTCATATTATCAAACAGTGGTTGCAGAACAGCCCAGGCTGAGGTTTGCATCCCGGGTTTTACTGAGCGATATTAGGCTTTAATAGGAGAAACTATAGTAACACTGTACCTGGTCATATTGTGCTTCACTTCAAGTCATTTCCTTGTTTCTTAAAATATACACATGCATTTCTGCCAAAGCAACAGTTATAAACCTGAAGCCCTGCTGGAAGGTAGCCTTGACTTTGACTGTTACCTACATTCAGCCATATGTATGTGCGCTTAAGGACGGATTCTCCACGTATTTCTGGAGGTGAATGAAGTTCACTGGTGCAAAGTCTGTGTTTGGAGGGCTCCTCGGCTCAGTGGACATTGTCATTTAAAGTTCTGTAGCATCAGCTACCTTCTCACGTTCGACTTGCAGTGGAAGTAATAACAAACCAGAGAATAAGCTATTTGTGTAATTTCTGTATAATTCTATACATTGCCAGAGCTGTGGCAGTATTTTGTACTGATAATGATTTTTTTCTTTTCCCTTTCCTCTCAATGCTTGAAAATCCGTTTCCTCCCCAAATTTCCAGAGCTTGCCAAGAGCTCTCACTGTGCTTCCCCTGAGGTCAACGTGTTTTCTGACTCCTTGTGTGCTCTTCCCACCCACAAAGCCCCCACGGTGGGTTTGCTGACCTGGACTGTGCTCCCCTGGCCCCTCCATCCCCCAGTCCTCTGTGCCCTGCTGCTGGTCTCCTGGCCCCGGGGAGGTGGGGGTCCAGAAAGCTCTGGACACACGCCCAGTTGGGGCAGGAGAAAGGCTGCCCATCAGTGGTGAACAAACTCCAGGGCTGGCCAGAGACGGTGAAACTGCATCCTGCGTCTGTAATGCTGTAAAAAGTGCTTTTCCCTGATATGCTGTGTTTGTGGTTTTCAGAGATCCCCTTGGTCTTGTACCTTTTTGCCCTGATTTCCATCACCTGGCTGTGGGGAGGGCTGCACATGGCTTATCGGCACCTCTGGATGTTGGTCTTCTTCATCATCTTCAACAGCCTGCAGGTAAGAGCTGGTGCCTTTTCCTGAGGTCCTCTTGCAGAGCTGGGGGTCACCTCCACCGCTCGCAACACGCCTGCCATTTCAGCTTCAGAAGCTGAACCACATCCAGAAATACACTGTGACATGGTGAAAGTGTTAATTACATGTTCTGTTTATTTCTGAACTTAACATACAGACTGCATATTAAAGCAAGGGATGCATTGTTTTGAAACAATAGCAGTATGATTGCATGGATTTAATTTCATAGCTAGTACACTGGGAAAGAAAATTGCTTGCTTCTGTGTATAGTATGTTACTGAGATAATTATGGCATATGTAATTATAAAAATGAAATATCTGCGGCCTTTACAAAAACACTATTTGAATTTTCTGTATCTGCTAACCCTAATTAAAAAAAGCCACTATGTTTTTAAAATTATATAACCATAATATTGAAAATTTTCTCATTATTAGAGATGAGCCTTGAGGCTTAGCTTTTCTCATGCAGTATGCTTATTGGCAAAGCAAAGATCTTTTAATTGAAAAAAATCAAATACGCACTAGATGTCGATTATTAGTTATAAAATATTCAAATAGCCTTTTTCAGAATTCTGCACATGCAAGTGCTTCCACCGGACTCAGTACTGCATTGCTGAATGCAATGCTATACTGCACGTCGTGGAACTGTTTGCAGAATAGAGGATAGTATATCATGGATGGAAAAATGCCTCTGATGTCTGAAAACAGCAAAATGAAGAGGAATTTAAAAAAATATCTCTCCACATCTCTGGTGTGCAATTTCCTCTTCCATTTTCGTAACAGAAGTATCTGTGTTACCGTGTATGATTTACCTATGTTAAAAATCTTTTTGCTTCATAAAATAAAAATTAATTTAAAAGGTATGTTTTCACAGAAGAGCTTTGTTTTAGATTTGAATTCAAAAGGTGGGCCTTTCCTAAAGCAGAAGTCTAAATGTTTTAAAAATGTACATCTCAGACATAAGTATTCTGTTAAATTCAGAAAAAAAATGTAGCTTATTCTCCTTGCAGTACATTTCATTATTTAGTATGTTGTCACTTAACTATTCTGGCATATATTGGCTCAAATTAGCAATGGTGGTTTTTTCCATGAAGTTGCATGAGTTGATTTGCTCCAGTAACTGTCCACAAGCAGATAAAATCGCTTTTCAGGAAGGCAGCAGAGCTTTCTCTGCAGTCAGAGTGCCACAGCTGTGCAGGACTGGCAGTTGTACCAACGCACATTCCCTCCCTTTCCCCCCCCCCTGCAAAATCTCAGCGTGCGGGCAAACCCCCACGGGAGTTTTAGAACTACGACGGTAACTACTGGAGCTTCATAGTGAAACTTAATGCACTGATACAAAGCATAAAAGTATGGTGATGTGCATGTATGTACGTGTAGGTATACATATTTACTTTCATGTATCCTTACTTACTGTGTTTCTACAAAGAATTATTACCAGAATCCGATCTGGGTTTGTGTTACCTAGGTCTACCTTGGATATAAATTTCTGCAAAGGGTATTTCATTATAACTGAAATTTTGTGACAGAGGTAAAGCAGTGCGAGAGCACTGCAATATGCATGGATATTTGCTTTAAACTAAAATTATTTTCTTGACAGTGCATATTTAGAGATAAGGGATACGAGCACTTTGTGAATGTTGTCATTCTTGGCCAGAGTGTTGACCCTTCTGTGTAAGTGCCAGAAGAGACTTTATATTAGTCTGCTTTATATAACTTGAAATTTTGTTTTATTCAAGTAAAGTTCAGAGCCATAGAATTATTGTTATTTTAATTAATGTGGCCAGTTTCAAGACACTAATTCATGCAATAGTCTCAAGAAGTAGAACAGGATGTTGAAAGCCAGTTGTGTAAAATACGAAACCCACAAAGTTTGTGGGAGATTTATTTTACTGATGGTCTGGTATGATAGCAGATGATATGGAAAAAAAAGAAATAAAAGCATTCCTAGAGTAATGTTTAAGTCATGACTGCTATTAGAGATGTGCCACTGAGTTACTCCAAAGTTTTTTGTTTAGATCCAGCTAAAAGTGAGATGACACCAGAAATATTTGCTTGTCTCAATCTATGTGAATCTTTTCTGTTGGTTAAATTCAAAGCTTTTTATGTAGTTCTGTTCCATTCATGCACTCTCAAACCTTTGAACTTAGGAAGGATTTTTTTTTCTTTTACTGGCTATTCTTTGATTGTTGAGTGGTCTCTTATCAGCACGACCTGTCTGTGCAATAGGTATACAACCATAAGACCTGTGTAGGTAGTACCTAACTTTTGGGTGCTTCTGCTAGAACTTTTTTATGAGTCTTACAGTGTCAGAAATGTTTCTCCCAAAACACCATGCAACTGAAAGAATAAAAATTTCTGTTTATTTTGTTTTGGGACTCAAGGACCTGACCTAAATCACTTTCCCTTCAAAGAGTGGGGTCATGCAGAAAGATCGAATAACATCTATGGGCAGGTGCATTTCTAATCTTTCAGAGCCATGTCCCCAGTTGCATCTCCACCCCCAGTTAGACAGCTGGGAAATATGTATTCAGAAACTTGGTTCTAAATCCTTTAGAGGAGCTGGGAAATTAAAAATTTAGAAACCAAATACTACAAGCTTCATTCTCTGCTGACTGGCTCGCCCTACGTCGTTATCACCACTGTGCAACCCTGTGTGTGGAGCACAGCCTTAATTTCAAACCTGTGGCGATTCCAGACTGCCCGCATTGCCCTTGTGCCCCTAATCCTTCCTTTAACTCTCCACCGACACAGGCGACTGCTTCACCAATGGATATAATCTCTTTTGTATTGGGATCAGTTAATTTGGCTTCTTGCCCTAATGATAGATCGTAATATCTGGGGAATAACTGAAGATGTCAACGGGCCGGCAGGAGGTACTGCAGCACCTCCGCAACAGGCAAATTTGTGTTCAAATTACGTCAATATTGATCTTCCACATCGAAAGGAGAAATCTGTTATTTTTGCTATTCGTAGCCCCAGAGAATATGTAAAATCTCGAATATAAAATAAATATTCCTTTATTGAAAGAAGAGACAATAATTTGAAATCTATATTCTCTTACTGGTTAATATTTTAAAATAATCTGTGTCTGTAGCTCTAACTCAAACAGTAGTAAGTAAAAACTTTTCCTTCCAGCTAGGAAGAGCTCAAGAATTTCACACTTCACATTTTAAAATAATTTTTATCCTTTGCTGGATTTTTCAGACAGAAAATATAGCAGGACCCTATCCACTACCTTTTATTACTAGATATTGGGAAAATGCTTTTTAAAGTATAAAGTTACCAAATATTTGAAAGGAAAAGATACATTTTTAGTGTTGGGTACCCTGAGAACAGTAAAAAACCATGGAGTAGCTCTTTCACAGTAATACAGTTTTTATAGTTGTTTGTTTCTTTTAATAGGTGATTGTCTTCAGTGCTTTGTGTATCTGTACAATAAAACAAGTTTAAAAAAAGTTTCTGGAGCACACCTGCATTTTAAATAACCGCCCCACACATTTTGTTCTCCTGTTTTGAAGTTACCATTTATCTAATCAGGAAACAGAAAAACTGATGTGTGATTCAGGTGACCAGACATGCAGCATGAGATGAAAAACAGGGAAGGAACAAGGCGAAAAGCCTGTAAATTTCTTTAATCTATGCTTTTCATCAAATAACCAGGTACACAAAATTGTCTTAACTAGACAAAATGTCAGTATGCAAACTGTTTGTGTAGAAGAAAATTATGCATTACAAATTCTGAACACTGAATAAAAGAAGGTTTTGCTGTGGGCAGGTGTGGCTTTGTAAAGCTTTGAAGACTGTGCTCTCTCTAAGCAGGGGCTGGTCTCCTGAGGGGCACGTGGCACAGTCCCTGCTGAGGGGTCCTTCTGGCCTCCAGGCTCTGCAGAGCAAGGCTCATGAAGAGATGGACCACCGTCTCCAGTGTCCTTTGAAGTTTTAATCTTAGCCCGGCTGTTTGGGAATGGAAGAGGAAAATGGGACTTAACAGTGGATAACACATCTTAATTACGATTTCGAGAGGAGCTAGCTGTCTTTTAGTGCTGTTGGCATCTCATTCCCATGCGTTGTATCTTCGTCAGCCTGAAGAATTGATAATGATTGTCAAACAAAGCCCTTTTTCTGCAACAAAATGTTGTTTTACCTTTTATTGGTTGGCAAACGTGCCCTGTTTCAGTTGGAAAGCGATTCAGTGTTCATTAAGAGCTTTTCCCCAACAGGAACAAGAACATTTAATAGTTTGTGAGAAACAGAGACCTGCTTCCCTGCTGCTCAGGAGCTGCAGAACGTGTAACGAGGCAGAACGTGACCCCTTAAAACACGTTGGATATCCAAATGGATTCAGCGCAGGAGACTGGACGGACACTGCGTGTTGTCTAATTTAGTTGTTTAGCCTTATGGCATGTATTCCCTAGGAAATGCACTTGATAGAAAAATTATCTACTAAGGACAAATTGTTTCTGAGCACTTCCTGCGGGAAACGGTTCCCATCAGAGACGAGTTTATGGTACGATCTATTCTAGTGCACGGAGGGGAAAGCAAGTCCTTTCCCTGTAACTTCATGAATAAACATGCAAAGTGCCATGTGGGGGGACAGTAGCTGATTTACAAAACAGAAAACAAATTTAGAAAAGCAGGAAAGGAAAAGGATAAGAAGCATGTTTAGGATATCTGATGTTTCTGAGTTCCTCAGCAGCATGGTCCTGATTATCCTACTCGGGCAGCAGCTGTGTCACAGAAACATACTCCATGCTCCCGTGTGAAAGGCCTGGGCTTCTCATCTTCTCGCTTGCAAACCCAAGAGGAACATTTACCTATTTTCTTTGCATATGATTGCCTCCGTGGATTTGTTCGCAAGACATTTCCTGGGGTCGGGAGTGAAAGAATAAGCTGCTGTCTTCTGTGCTTCTCTCCAGAGGTTAGGACTTCGCAGGCGGTTTTGCGTGCTCTGCACTCGTATAAATGATCGCCGTGTTTCTCGT